AAAGCATGACTAGGAATCAGAGGAATCTACAACCACAACCATTTTTACTTTTTGATTTAATCAATGCAAAGAATTTCGGAACTTTTGTCTTTATAGGAAATAGGGAATCCAGTCACACCCATTTCAAGGATTCATTCTTAACACTGGTGAAAGCTAACATCTTTATAGTAAGGTGACCATTTAATTTATCATCCACGTTGGGGCACTTCTGAAAGTGAAAGGAGTTGCTATTAATAATTGCACTGAGATAATAGGTATTAACCAGAAAACGGTGGTGAATGGTCATATAACTTTACAGTAAAAATAAATTGGCAATTAAGATGGCAAATTTTATTATGTTTTTTAACACAATAAACACACATGCACAAATAAATTGGAAAGTAGTCCTTTCTACAAGATAAAAATCTATATTTTTCCCCTAAAGTAAGGGGGATTACTTAATTTTTGAAGTCTTGAAAAGTTAGCATCCAAATTCAATGGAATGTTTTCTTTCAGGCTGGGGATTTATCAAGTACCACATGAAGTCCTGTAACTTGAGCTCTTCAAAGACAGACATGCAAGATACGAGGGCTAATGTTGGTATTCCTATACCAGCAAGCCCGTACATCTAGAATACATTTTAAAAGGGCTGAAATCTCACTAAATTAACAGGAATGACATGGAAGAAATAACATATGCTATTTCTTCTGATCTTGGGAAAACCACTTATGCTTAATTCTCACAGCTGTGACACAGACTACTTAGATCTTATTTTTCAATACACACTGTAAGAGAAATCATCAGTGGAGACTGGCATTTAGAGGACTCCTAAAACAAGAGATGATAACTAATTGATGAAGTGAGCCTAAAATCTAGTCCAGTCTATTTCATGCACATGAAATAATTTTTTCCATGTCAGGAGTGGGAGTAAGTCCCTATAGGGAGTCAGAGCAACATCAAAGAACTCCATCAATCTTAACAATAGTACCAGAAAAGGGACAAAGTTGTTATACCCAAGATTTTAAACCACCCTTATGTCTTCCTAAGGACAAATCTCAATCCTCATATCCACTCCATTTGTGTCCCTGGCTTTGGGCTTTTGTCTCATGGCATATTTTGTGTTTTCGACCAATTTTTTCCCCCGGATGTCTGCCATCCTCCCTGGTCACCAACCTTACCATTTCCATTCCCCATCTCCACCATATACACCTCCCTTCTCCTCTGCTGCAGACAGCTGCCAGCCCTAGACTCACCTACTTTCACATACTTCCTACTTGAGCCTCTTTGTACAATTTACCTCTTCCAGCATGGACACCACTATTTTAAATCAATTATTTCCGGCATGGACACCACTATTTTAAATCAATTATCCCGAAAATAAAAATATTTTCTATAAAGCCTGTTTATAGTGACAGGGATAGGAATTATAATTTAAGGTTGCTTCAGTTTCATTCATCTCTGAAAGGCAATTTAGTTCCATACACTCAACTTAAAAAAAAGGCCTTCAGGGTTCGGCCCGGTGGCACAGGGGTTGAGTTCGCACACTCCGCTTCAGTGGCCTGGGATTCACTGGATTGGATCCCGGGTGCAGACATGGCACCACTTGGCAAAGCCATGCTGTGGCAGGCATCCCATATATAAAGTAGAGGAAGATGGGCACGGATGTTAGTTCAGAGCCACTCTTCCTCAGCAAAAAAAGAGGAGGATTGGCAGCGGATGTTAGCTCAGGGCTAACCCTGCTCAAAAAGAAAGGCCTTCAGGAAAAAGGTTAAATGAAGCCTGAGGACAAATGTCGGCTAACTTTCAGCGATCCCTGTAAACCCATTTCTGCGCCAGGAGTCAAAGCTGTATTTTAATTTTTCTCCTTATTCTATACTCCACATCCATGGATTTCTACTTTATCACTTCCATATATTTGCCCTAAACTATTGTTTTCCAGGCCAATGCCAAACCCTTTAATCTTTCAATTCTGTTGATTAAATTATTTTTGCAGCTTGAATGAAATAAGTCACATATCATACAAGTGACTCACTTAAAGTATACAATTCAATGGCTTTTAGTATCTCCAGAGTTGCGCAACGATCACCAGAACCAATTTTAGAACATTTTCACCACCCCAACAAGAAACCCTGTACCTATTAGCAGTCATTCATCATTTCATCCCCTCCTCCACCTCCACCTCAGCTTAGGAAACAAATAATCTAATTTCCATTTCTATAGATTTGCCTATTCTGGACATTTCATGTAAGTGGAATCCTACAACATATAATCCTTTGTGACTAGCTTCTTCCACATACAACGTTTCAAGATTCATTCATATGTAGCATGGATCAGTATTTCCTTTTTTTCTATTGCTGGATAATATTCCACTGTATGGCTGTATCACTTTTAATTTATCCATTCATTAGTTGGTAGGCACTTGTATTGCTTCCACATTTGGCTATTGTGGATAATAGTGCTATGAAAGTTTGTGTACCAGTTTTTGTGTACATATGTTTTCATTTCTCTCAGGTATTATAATGGGTTGAACTCTGCTCCCCGCTGAAAGGACATGTTGAAGTCCTAATATCCTATACCTCAGAAGGTGACCTTCTTTTGAAATAAGCTCTTGATAGAGGTAACCAAGTTAAAATGAGGTCATTGGGGTAGGCCCTAATCCAATACCATTGGTGTCCTTATAAAAAGAGGAAATTTGGATGAGAAACACAGACACACGCAGAAAGAACACCAAGTGAAGATGGAAGGTTTCAGTGATGCATCTGAAAACCAAGGAACACCAAATATTTCCAACCAACACCACAAGCTAGACAAGGAAAGAAAGGATTCTCTCCTAGAGCCATTAGAGAAAGCATGATCCTGCCATCAGCTTGATTAAGGATTTCTAGCCTCCAGAATCGTGAGAAAATTAGTATCTGCTATTTTAATTCATTCAGTTTTTGGTACTTTGTTACAATAGCACTAGGAAACTAACACAGGCACACACCTAAGAGTGGAATTACTAGATCATATGGTAACTCTACGTTTAACCCATTGAGGAGCCGCCAGACTGTTTTCCAAAGCAGCTATACCATTTGATTGCTTTTTTGATAAATTGATAGTTCAAAACCTCCCTCAAATATAGAAAGTAAGCTTTTCTATATGTAACCTCACCCTCCACAGGTAATTCTCCCTTTCTCCCTCCATCCTCACCATAGTGACAGTCTTCTTTACCAGCTGTTAAATTTTCCTATTTCCTTAAAAAAAACAACAAATAGTTAAATTTTCAACGCACTAATAGGAGGGGGTATCTAGAATGAGCTGTGGTTGGGGATGCAGAATAATCCTAGAGATCTAAACGGAAGATAGATGAGGAGTAAATGGTACTAAACAGCAGGAAACTGTCTTTAAAAGGAGGATTTCCTAGCTGAGATGGGGAAGAAAAGAGGATCCTGAAGGAAATTATGGCATTTTCTTTAGAGAAGAGAGGCTGGCCACAAAGAGGTCTATGTCCCACCTCTGGAGAAAGGAATTGGCATGGTGAGATGGAATACGTCTTCCAGCATAAGCTTGGAAATTCTGAATTTCACTTTGTTGTTGTCCTAAGAGGACCCTCAACTTTCTTCAAACAATAAAGCACTATGGTCCAATAATGATCAAGTTGTATATCATTTAATCAAATATCTGACTATTCTGAACAAAGAAGAATAGAACCTTTTATGTAGTTGAGTAAATACGATACACCCACACACACACAAACAGATCGAGCGCTCTGTCTAGTCAACAAAGTTTTTAATAGGAAATGAAGTCTCTAGATTTTAGATCTCTGCACAGCTAATGGATGCAGGCATATTAGTAATGATTTGGCTCTTGGCCATGTTATAAAAACTAGGGGCAAAAAACACATGCTAAAAAGTTTACAATAAAATCTCATAAAGATCACTTCATTTTGTTGTTACCAATAAACTATTTTCACTTACAGTGTCAACCTTTTCATTTTTCACAGCCTCAGATAGAAAAGCAAAGCAGAATGGAAAAGGAATGTTGGAGAAATACACTCTAATACCAGCGAGCTAACTGCTGACAGTGACAATAGACAGGAAAACACCAGACACAGCAGGTCATTCAAAAAGCACAATCGTCTGGGATTGTTTAGTGAAGGAAGAAAGGGGAACGAGAAATCCCCAGAAGGTGTCACAGTGCTATCACTGACGCCCAAAACTGGTAAGCTTGAGTCCTCAAAAGAGTTCATTTAGTTCACGTTATTTAAGAGGAAGGTAACAATACAGTACATTTTAGAATACAGCTAGAACACAACATCAAGTAGTTAAAATAAAATTGAGGCTACCGATTATCTCCAATAAGCCATCCTTTTATTTTCCTTCCTCTAACTTTCTCCCAATGACTAAGGCAGGTCTGGAAAGAGTGGACTGGAACAAGGGAAATGTTCAGGAAACTTAGGTCTGAAAACATGGCAATAATTGTGTAAAGTTGGGAGAACGTGAGCAAAACTGAAGTCTAGATCATTTTATTTATCTTGAAAGTCTCACATAAATAAACTTAATTTGAATCCCATTCCTACAGAAATCTCTTCCCTCTTTAGCCTTCTTTCATCTTACTACAGCAAAAGCCACAGAATCTTTTAGATCAGTGGTTCTCAAAGTGGCGAACTCCAAGCAGCGGTATCAGCATCACCTGAAAACTTCTCAGAAATGCAAACTCTCAGGCCGAACCCAGGCCCACTGACTCAGAAACTCCGAGGTCAGGGCCAGCAATCTGTGGTGGACCAGCTCTCCCTCCAGGTGATTCTGATGCTTGCTAAAGTCTGAGAATCTCTGTCTCAGATAATATGAATGAAAACGCCCAGGAGTTTTGATTTATAGAACAAAATGCTTCTTAAAAGACTGAAGTGACAAAAAGGAATAGAGAAGGAAAGTCTATTATGTAAATTGTGCATTAGTAGCTTCGAAATCATATCCTTTCTAGATTAAGGCCCAACTATAACACTTAGCAACTTCTAATAAGTAGCAGCAGAAAGATGGTACCTTCCAGATGTTTCAGGAGTGCCCTACTGCTGTTTCCATGAGCAGATATCAGAATGGTCTTGCCCTTTAATACTTCAGGAGCAATCCTCTCATTCCAAAAAGGAAGGAGTCTCTCTAGAACATCCTTTAAGCTTTCAGACCGTGGCAGTTCAGCCACAGGTACGTCGCACACTTTATACCTCCGGTCACTGTAGATTTCATGGTAGTAAGGATGAGACTCGTCAATGGGAGGCGGGGTCACATTGTAGCTTCTTCTCCAGACCCTCACTTGTTCTTCACCGTGATTCAAAGCCATCTGCTCCCTGTTGAGACCGATCAAGCCTCCATAGTGACGCTCATTTAGACGCCAGTTGCTTTCCACAGGAACCCACTCCTGCCCCAGTTCTTCTAGGATTAGCCAGGCTGTGTGGATGGACCGATTGAGGACAGATGTGAATACAAGATCAAACTCAAAGTTTAGAGCTTTGAGCTGCTTCCCACAGTTCCGAGCTTCCTCCAGTCCTTCACTGTTAAGTTTCTGATCCACCCAGCTACAAAAACGATTCTCTTTATTCCAAGCACCCTCGCCATGTCTTAACATAATCAGTTTGTACTTGGACATACTGATGGCTGAGCTTCCCTAGTGCTTTCAAATGGGCCCGTGTTTAGTGACAGCAGTACACCTACAAAGAGAAGAAACAAAAAGCACAAATTATATTCTTCATTCAACTAACTACTTGGGAATGGAAACACAACTTTACAGCAGCCAGTTTCTAAAATAAACTGGAATAATCCTTTGAACAGTTTTGACATCAAACATCCGGCAACTCCTACACTATGGCACATACAGGCATATTCTGCAGATAATTAATTACAGGGAACCTAGTTGACGTAAATTTTCTGATGGCTGGATAGTGTGTTAATTATACGACGTAAAAATAACAGAACACTTCATTCTAATGGCATGCTGCATTTCCGCCAGATAGAAAGGCAGGTTGCGCTTACAGAAGTGAGGATTTAATAGAATGAGTTGTAGACGTCTAAAAGGATGATAAGTAGCTAGGAACTCCCAGCTCCTAGTAGCTGACTCTAGATTGAAGGCACCCTTCTCACTTCGTTTTTCCTCTGGCAGAAACAGAAATATTTACCACAGAAATATTACTACACAAGTTATTAAACATGTGAATTCAATGAACCACCACAAATACCTGACATGTAAACCACTGACTGGTGGCAACTAGCTCTTCAATGCCACAGGCTATACCACAGACAAGCAGATCTGAGGTTCAACATTCAAACGACATTAAAAGTGATTTAAAGCGACATCAATGTCAAATATGGTACTCACCTAACTAACCTCTCACCTGCCTCAAGATAGAACTTTCGGCAGGAATAAATCCAGATGCAAAACAAGCTATCAAGTGCAAGCAGCTGAGAGATGCTGCCTGTAGAAGCAGATCAACAGGAGCAGGCCTGCAGGAGTGAGAGGAAGTGCACTGATAAGGAGGCCCCGTCTTCTCCTCTCAAGCCTCCAGCCATCCTACACACCAGCCACACGTCAGTGGGAGAAGAATCTAGTAAAGTGGGACAGGCCACCCTGAAGTGCTTCTGAACTCCCTGGGTTAAGGTGCTGGGCCCACTCTGTCCACTGGAGCATGCGCTGCCCTGGCTGCATCAGCCTGCCAGCCCTCTCCTGCAGTGGACATATCTACACTGTTCAATGCTGCTCGGTTCACGTGCCCAGCGCTCTCCACCTCCACCCCAGTGTCTTCCCCACTGGGGAGCAGAGATTATAGGAACACCGGGCCTGATCTGCCGCCATTCCTGGCAACTTCCACTAACTGGAGACTTTCTGTCCCACTTAAACTGCCATTCATCCATAGTTATATAACAGTGACAAAGGAAATTGGAATCTAGATCTAGTTTCTTCCTTTCTTTAGTAATTCCCAGAGATTCTGAAGGGAGAAAAGTTTTTAAAGTAAGGCTTCATATTTCGGTGGAAGGCAGAGGACCAGCGGCAGGAGGCTGACTGAGGTGATCTGCAAGTGGTTGAAAGGCTACAGCAGTCAGGCTGACGGTTGCTCTTTCTCCTCCAGCATCAGGTTTGAAACTTGAGTGCACAGGAGGCAGGAAAGCCTCAGGTCACGGGAAGAGCCCAGGGCTCAGGGCTCAGGTGACAGCATCTCAGAGAGCAGAAAACTTCCAGAGGGAGAGCAATGCCTCTACCCTCAGCCCAGGGGGGGCGTAGGGGTGGCAGAAGAACAGAGGATGGGATGAAAGGCGTCTGGGCAGTGTTTTGCTAGGTGATGACTAGTGCCAAGAGCAGAATAATTATGAACTAAAGAAGCTCAAGCTTCAGGGCCCCTCACTTGAACAAACTCCTTCTAAGGTGCCGGTAGAGACCAAATAAGGAATTCATGGATGAGAGAGACTGTGTGTGTGTTTAATATGCAAAAGGAAGATATTTTTATATTGTTTCTTTAAAGTGCCTCAATCCACGAAGTAGTAGGACTTTCATGCCCAATAAAAACTGGATCTAGCCCGTGGTAACCATTTATTGTTTCATTTTGGTGGTGGTGGTGGAGGAGGGGATGGAGAGAAGAGAAGCTATCAGCTGTTCCTCTACCTCAACCCTTAGCTGGTCTTGTCAAGCAAGAAGCCTCCATAGGCTAATGAAGCTATTTTCCCTTCAAATGAAGAAGGGTGTGATGGACAAATTTTGTAGGCAGGGACACTTCTCCATCATCTTCTGATTATGAACTATATTGAGGGGAACAAAAAAATGTAGCAATAACATGAATACTCAGGCACCTAGCACCAAGCTTTGCAGTATTTTAATCTGCCATATTTCTTTACTTTATGAAATGAAACCATTTCTCTGTTTTTGCCCCTCAAAATATAAATACCGGAGCAGAGGGATAGTATTTACAGCCACAAAAACTACGCAGATACACAGCCTTCCCTTACTCTGGTGGATAGGGGTAAACACAGGATAAGGTACCAAACCAGTGTATCTGTCTCAGGTGGACAAAAAGCCACTCCCTCTCTCCTCCTCAGTGCCATCAACGGACTTTTCCCATATTAGCTGCTGAATATTGACAAAGGAGCTGCTGAGGTTTAAAGTTTGCAATTTTTAAGATTTTAATCATCGTGGGAGCTGGTATACCAAGTGTTTACCAATAAACAGACAACACTGTAGTCAGTTTCATTTAAAGTTTAAGGCAGGGGCTGCAAACTCACATGTCCCGATCGCCAGACAGGTGTGTGAAGAGCAGTGACGATGGACTATGGGGGTGGTGGGACCAGTATTGAACTGCATGGAACAGACATGCCTCTCTGATAGACACAACTCTTGCGTAAATGGATGAAGCTTTTGTATAACCTGGTCTCAGTGAACTAAGAGAACCATTCTAGAACTTTTCTGAAGAACAAAGAGAAGATAGTACTGCTGGAACCAAAGACTGGAAAGAATGCAAGACTTAGAGTCAGACCATACAGAACCCATGGATTCTATTTTGTTTTTAGAGTAAATAAGTCTCTTTTATTTTTAAATAAAAATGATCATTTCAGCTTCTAAAAGTTGATATAAAAAGTAAAAGGAGTAGCTGTTACTTAGTTCCATCCCATTTCCCAGGGACACTGAGGAAGTGGGGTTCCTAAACCTTCCAATTTCCAAAATCACTGGAAATGCACATTTTTATATGATATTTGATATAAATACTGGCGACTAATTTGAGTTCATTTTTTAAATATGAGCTAAACAAAACATGTCTGCAGGCTAAGCTGAGTCTGCTAGCGTGTGACCTGTGACTTCAGGGGGAATCTCCAGGCCACAGATGAATGAGGAGGCGGTCAGGTCGCAAGCCTCCAGGCTCGGATCCCAGCTTTGCTCTGTTATTTGTCCAGCACACTCTTTCAAAGGACAGACCTGCTAATCCCCAAATGTGCTGGGCTTCCATGTCCCTGACCCTTCTTCACCAACCCTTTGCCAGTGCCCTGCAGAGTTCAGCTCTGTAATCAAACTCCTGTTCAACTTCGGACTCTTCCTGGAATGCTTCCGCCAGTCTGAGCTTTAACCCAGCTGAAAACGAACTGACCCGACCTCTCCCAGGTGTCTCTTTAGTGGGTGGTGTTCACGCCTCATATTCCAGGGCAGGGTCCTCCTACTTCTCAATGGTACTTCCTGACCAAATGCCTCCACCCCCACCACGGGAAGTGGACAAGTTTTGATTCTGAGAGTCTTGCTATATTCAGCTGTAGCACTCTCCTCATTTATTAGTCACAAACTTCCTAAAAACTGAGCACCCTATTTAAAACCCTCAGTTACTTCCTATTGATCTTAGGATAAAGTCCAAAATCCTTAATAGGATCTGCAAGGCTTTGGTTTATCTTTTATCTCCTTGAGCGGTCATGGTCTCTCTTGCCTCAGGACCTCTGCACATACTATATCCAAAGACCCCTTGCCCATCCCCCACTCCCCTCCACAGTCCCTTCAGTCCTGCCCTCCTTTAGGGAACCTCTAGTCATCCTTTAGATCAGCTGTGCCAAATCAAAATATAATGCAAGCCACATGCGTAATTTTAAATTTTCTACAAGCCCTATTAAAAAGTAAAAAGGGGCCAGCCCAGTGGTGCAGTTGTTAAGTTCCCATGCTCTGCTTCAGCAGCCCAGGATTTGCTGGTTTGGATCCTGGGCATGGACCTGCACACTGCTTATCAAGCCATGCTGTCACAGGTGCCCCACATATAAAGTAGAGGAAGATGGACACAGACGTTAGCTCAGGGCCAATCTTCCTGAGCAAAAAAGAAAACGGAGGATTGGCAGCAGATGTTAGCTCAGGGCTAATCTTCCTCAAAAAAATAAAAGCAAAAAGCAATAGAAGAAATTAACTTTAATAATATATTTTATTTATCCCTCTAGGTTCAATATATTATCATTCCAACATATGATCTATATAAAATTCTTAATAAAATATTTTACATTATTTTTTTCATAGTAAGTCTTTGAAACCTGGTGTGTATTTTATACTTAAAGCACATCTCCATTTGGACTAGCCATATTTCAAGGGCTCAACAGCCATATATGACCAGTGGTGACCTTATTGAACAGCAAAGGTTGAGAACTTAGCTTAAACGTATTTCTTCTGGGCCAGTGGTTCCCAAACTCTAATGGGTATTAGAATCACCAAGAGAACTGGTTAAAACAGATTGCTGGGCTCCACTTAGAGCCTGACTGAGCAGGTCTGGGGAAGCCTGGGAATTTGCATTTCTAACAAGCTCCCAGGAGATGCTGATGCTGCTGGTTTAAGGACCATGCTTAGAGAACCTCTGCTCTAAGCAGACTTCTCTGCCTTCCTTCTCACCCACTGGGAAGTGGCCAGGCCTGCCTGGGAGACACTCTCGGAGCACCCTGCTTTGCAACATTGGGTGCACTTGTGATGGGTCACTTGTGACAGCTTACTTATTCAATGTGCCCTGTTAGACTGTAAGGTGCATCACAGCTGGTCTGTCTTACTGCCTTATCTCTAGAACCTAGCATGACACTCGACACGGACGAGGTACTGAGTAGGTGTGTTGACTGAATCCAAGTCAGTTAGACAAAAATGATTAAACTGTGCTAATGAGCTAAGACTTTACAGGTTCAGTGGCAACTGTCAAAGTAAAAACAGTCAGCTGGCAGGCCCAAGATGTTAGAAGGCTTTAAATCAAGACTCCCAGGGTTATTTAATGGCAAAGCCAGAGCCAAGAATAATCACCCATTATATTTTTGTACGCTTTACAGTTTGCTACGTTCATAAAGGGCCATAATCTCTACAAAGAAAAGAGAGACTTCGATTCACTTGTTCAAACACACGCAGCCTCTAAGTGGCAAACGGGAGCTGCAGCCCGGGTCTTCTGCCTCCGACCCCTGTGCTCTTCCCACCTCACCGCTGAGGACCTCAGAGTCCTGGTCTGAGGATGTAGGCTCACTTGGCTTCACTTCACAGGAGCATCTCCAGTCACGACTTGTCTGGCCAAACCCGGGCAGCCATTTCACAAACACATACGAACAAGGTGAGTACAAAGGAGGGCTCAGCTCCCGATGGCCCCTGAGAAAAACCTCAGGTCCCAAGTCAAGATGCGCAACAGTCACCCCAGCTTATAAAGAGGCACCATACTGATAATACGTAGTCCCCACCCTCAAATTAAAAACTATTCTTTTTTAAAAATCAAGGTTTTTGGTGCTGTTTTTGGTACAGCTCATCGCCCTTGAGTTGGTCCTTAAGGCTCCTCCTTTATCCCTCAGCAAGGGTTACTGGCACTTGAATTAGCACTAATTTTAGTCAATTATTGACTTCATACCAAAAAAAAGGCCACATATGTCACTGAATTATACCCTAGAGTTTCTTCCTTTTTAAAGTATAGTATGACTCAAAGAAAAAGTTTCCTACACCAATGTACCTTGTATATGACTGTCTCA